TGATTTTGGAAGTTATTTGTATTAAATTGAAATGGTCTAAGCGGAGAATTACTTTGTGGTTGTATTGGGCGATTGAAGAAATTATTCTGAGGTTGCATAGGGCGATTTAGAAAATTATTTTGGGGTTGAATTGGACGATTCGGGAAAACAGAATTAGTCATAGGGAATTGATTAACATAATTTTGTGATTGGAAAAATGGTTTAGGAGGCGGAGTATTTTGTTTTACAAATGGTTTAGTCATCATATTTTGGAAATAACCTATATTTTCTTCCTCTGATATAAATTGAATCGCTTCGTTTAAATTACTAGGACGCATACTTCTTATAGTGGTTCCTAATGGTTCTCTTAAACCTGCTAAAAACGTTTTTAATGCTAACTTATTATATAAATCGCGTTTGAGGATTTTAGCCTCATTTGTTTGCTCATGTATGTCTACATATGAACATAACAAATTTAGTAAATGTAAGCATTTATCGTAAAATTGGTGTGGTTTTTCATTGGGTAATTGTTTGAGCAAAATTAAATCTCTATTTAAACAAATTTCATCGCGTTGATCTGCAAAATGCCTACGCAAAGTTGCTTTTAGTTGATCCCACGTATCAACACTTTGAATATTTACTACTACTTTAGCATTTCCTGTTAACTTACCTATCAAAGAATGAATTAAAAATATATTTTGGAAATCATTAGGGTTTGTGGTATTATAAAACTGTTTAATAATACTTTCACAAGTTATTAAATATCTATTTAAATCATTTGTGTTACCATCGAATGTTGGAACACAACTTAAATATTCGGGTTTAAAAAGATACATTTTGGTTTGTACAATAGAATTAATCTTCGAGATTATCTGATTTACGTTATCTTGTGAATTTTCACTTAAATTAAGGGATTCGGTTGAGGAGTTAACGTCAGAGTCAACTGAAGGTTCTAAAGATAAATTTTCATAAAGATTTTCCAATGACATCGAATTGTACTTACATTAGTAGTACGACTTTGTCCATTCCACTTATGTAACTATGAGGGCTCAGCAAATTGGTCTGGCTATGTGGTCCAAATATTTCCCAATTTTGGTCCTCACAGAAAAAGACGATATTCTTCTTTTTCTCGTGTAGAAGGATTGTTTCAGGTCTGCAATTGACTGGGTTTCTTGATTTTTAAGTAACCACTCCGAAACCGATCTCCGATACTTTGATTACCGCTTTTATGACTTAGATGCTATTTGGCTTCATTCAAACAGTAGAAATCGTAATTTCTTTCAAAGACTTGAAAATCTCAAAAGTACTAGAGATAGAAGCTGACTAGGATGTCAGAGTCTTTCAATCTCATGTTGTTCAGTTTGTCGATGAAATGTTTTGAATTTCTAATGTGATGTTCGGAGATTCCCACGTGCGGAGCCAATAAGGTGGTCAAATGTTTAGTCACATTATATGTTGGTGAACCAATGGTACTCACTATTGGACGTAGTGGGACTTCTGCTTTCTGAATTTTTGGCAATCCATAGTCTCGGCAGGCGACTGTCGTACATCACTGCTTCGCTGAGAGTTACTTTGCCGCAATTTATACCGATTTTTGCGACGTCCAAGCATTGGATTTTCCCCCGGAGTTTCTTTCCTTCTAAATTGTCGAATTTCTATATCTGGCGGTCCCTCGCGTTGTTGTATACAACTTGTTATCCAGAATGGATCCAAGGTACAGGTGTAGTTCGTATAGCTACTGTAACTTTAAATCCAATTCCTTCCGTGTGTTATGTACTTGTTCTCCTAATAGGCCCTCGCTGGTTCTAAGATAGATCCTCGTGGCGGCTACAGACTGAATGTTGCGTTTCAGCTGGAAGTACTTGGGTATCTTTCCTTGGTCGCGACATCTGCTCAAGAAGGCAAGACTAGTGAGTAGCTTGCTTTTCTTTTTCCGTAGATTTTCAAAACAGAAAGCTCTATAAGCAAACGGTTACAGTTACAGTGAAATCCAGAGAGTAATACATTCTAAAAGCACCAGAACGAGAATAACACAACGACTGATAAGGAAAAAATCGCAACTTGTCTTCCTTATATTCAGAACATCACAGACAGAATAGCTAAGATTTTTGGAAAAGAAGGGAATAAAAACAACATTTCTACCCATCCGCAAGATTCGAAATGAACTACGATCAACAAAGGACCCTCTAGATCCACTATTAACACCAGGAGTTCACCGTATACCTTATGAATGTGGTAAAGACTACATTGGGATAACGCAACGCAGCGTATTGACAAGGAGGAAAGAACACGAAAAAGTCATTAGATTACTTCAACCCTAGAAATCAGCTATAGTTCAACACGTGCTTGAGGAAGGCCACACCATACAGTTCAATGATACAACTATCCTGGTTAGAACGTCGGGATTCTACAATCTGACTAGAAGGGAAACTCTGGAAATTGAACAATATCCCCATAACATAAACAGAGATGATGGCTTACATATCAGCAAAGCTTTGAAACGGACACTGAAAAATAAACAATGTGCTTCCAAACGAAGAGGACTGGATCAACAGAAAACAACATGGACGCAGTGAACCATAAAACCACTTACCGTAACGACTCCAGTATAAGAAGGGTAACCCGTTCTCAAAATACCAGTTACCACTCATCATCTGCCCAGTCTCCATTGAAGGTGCCGTCAGCAAAGAACAGCGAAACGTTTGGAAAAGTAAAATTTCACGGAACACTGCCAAAAAGCCCGGAAGAAAACACCGTATCCAAGTTATGTAGCGTCCAGAAATATATGATTCAAAATATACCCCATATGATTCCAGACCACTTTATAAAAACATTTTCTTTATTAAAAGTATAGTAAAAGACTTGTGCATAATACTTTCTAAGGATCCATTGTTTCAAGCAGGGTCAAACATTTCTCATAATTTTCCAAAATATCCGGCTCAAAAGATTAACGTATGATTGGTTTACCTAGCGATATCTTTTTGTTACTTCTCAGATAAACTTATTTTTAACTTCTAGATTCAAATACCCTAGGCAGAATGAGTTACAAACCGATAATAATTAATGTAATAAACACCACAGACATTAGCAAATTAAAAATAATCAAAATATAAATTCCATGTTTCCTAAAATCAAAATAACTATGTTAACAACTAAACGCCTACACCGGAACCGGAACAAATTCCAATCGGTACGGGAAGCGACAAGAAAATAAAATCTGTTTTAAATAATAAAAGCAACCACTATATACTTATTCTAACCAATAAGAATAGAACACATTGTACATACCTTATACGTAAAGATTCTAAAGAGTCATTAAGGTAAAACAAGATACTCCATAGCCCAAATGACCGTAGAATCGTAAGAATATTCAGCCCTTCTTAGTTTAGATTATAAAATAGAAGTAAAGAAATAGCAGGGACACAAATTTTTCCGTGACTGGGCAATATATCCATAAATTCCTCTTCAGGATACTACTACAAAGTTACACAGTTGGTACATCCAAATTATTTATTTAAAATTATTAAGCTAAAGCCAACAACCTACTGCGATCGTTTTAATAAGTACCTGAATCAATAACCAGAAAACCGTCAGATCGAAGGATCAGGGAAAGTCGAATACAAAATCACGAGAAGCGAGTAAAGCAGGGTGATGGGACAATTTGCCGTCTTCAATCGCAGTTTTCCTGTCATTATTTACATTTCCCATGTATAGTAAAGGACGAAAATGTATTAGTTAACACTTAGTTAGCTGTCGTTAAAGTATTATTAAAGTAAAACTTCTTTATCGACGATAGAAAAGAAATTTACTAGGGTATAAAATCGTAAAGTGTAACGTCACGTGATCTCTGGTGGAAATGTTGAAAAGGAATCATTTTAGGAGGCTTCAAAAGCTAACCTACTAGTAGCAATCGATAATCCAAAAATTGCCATTTCAACAAATTGTTAGCAGATCGCGCCTACACATTATATACTGCATACGCGTCCTCTTTGCAGTTTTGTAAGTCTTTAACAAAACTAAACCACTATTCCGCATTCGTCCACAAAGTGGCATTTTTATGGTATTTATTAATCAGTTAATGCAATAGTTTAATCCATTTTTTTTAATTACTAATGTAATTTAAAGAAGTTTCACGTCTTATTCGTATACCCTAATACACGCTCGCCCCCGTTTCTTTATGTTCTAAATTAAATAGGTACGGTAACGATTTTTCCATCCGACGGGACCTGAACCTTGACGAATGTTTTAGAGTGAGTGGGTCGGCTTGCGTTAATTTAGGGCGCCGGACCATAGGTTTAACCATAATAGGGGGGGGGGGGGTTAAAGAGAAATCAAACTAACTCAAGTCCCTAAAAGAGGGCAGCATCTCTTTCAATACACAGGGTGACAGAAGTCACAAGGATCGGTATGACACTCTGATGCACAATACTGCGATGTGGAAGGCTACGAGAAACCACCACATTGTGATATCCCAAGTAAAATAAACCTAACTCAAATTATGGCGTCCTTTGGGGTAAAGCACTCCGGGCGTAAACTAGTTCCCCATTCAAATGTCCAGGTGGGGACTACCTCGGGGGATCATTATTCGCACTGTCATTCGCATTGTTTTTTTATATTACTGGTCCATTGTTCATATGTTAACTCCTATCATCCAGAGGTTAGGTTACATTGTTAAACTAAAACAATCGAATATACTTAAGGTATAAGCACTATCTATTTGTTTGTTTACAAAAACTTTTCGAAGCTGAAGCTGCCACACAACTGGTGATAGCTTACGTATATATACACATGATAGGCAAGTGACAATTAACAGTACTGTACGACATTGTTGAACGATGGTCAATAACGAAAATGCTTTATTGAATTTTTATTCACAACGATTTCACCAATAAAACCTCTGAACTTGTAACTTGTAAAAGGATGTAAGATAGTAAAGGAATTATTTTGAATAAAAGATACTTTAACATCTAAACTATATAGTTACCAAATTTTCTCCTTGGGTAAGAAGTAAAGGCAAAAGGTCAAACTAACTACATATACGTATATTTAGAAAAACTTTTTACATACAATGCGAATCTAAGATGTAATACATTGCTTGTGATACATAACTCTTATGCTAGTTTTGCTTTAAAGGTATCAAAAATACTGGAGTTAGTGTTTAATACACTTATTAATTCGAATAAAATTATTATACTACATATGAAGGGTTTCACCTATAAAACAGAGAAGTGCAGGAAGAAACACTAAACCATGGAGGGCTCCTGATATCACCATGATGAGGTACATTTTGAAATAGAAAATTTTAAATATTTGAGATTTTGCAAAACCCAGTACTATTATTCCAAAGAATTTGGTCAATGTTATACCGTTTAAAACCTAAAATCTCAAAAGAATTATCAACTAATTTAATCAATTAGAAAGACGGATGTTTACATACCCTTGAGCCAGTAGTTACTAATGCTTCAGTAACCTTATTCACTGGCTGCAGAGCGGTAGACCTCCTGTATGCAAAGGCTATGTGCCCACAAAACTCCACACTGATTCCAATGGTCTACGGTATATAAAATAATGAAGACTGTTTATTTAAAGATAGTTTTCAAAAATTGTTCTTCTATTTTTTAAGAAACTGTGCTAGACATTAAATTTAATTTTTATACCTACAAATACTCTTATTTAAGATACAATGAAACGCTGGTTAAAATATTTATTTTGTGAATTAAGAGCGATAAAACTATAAAAGGCTGTATCGTGTCGCGTGTCAATGAATGCATAATAAATACGAGGAAAATTTAAAATGGGCATTTTGCTCACGGTAATAAAAAACATTAGTAGTCGTCCGAAGTGGAGAAATAGTTTACCTAAATCAAAAATGCACTTCAAACAAACCCCACGATGCAGATCGACAGACGAAAAGCTAAACTTATCTAAATCTGTGAAGTGTAAATTAGCTCACTCACACCAAGCCCCCGAAGAAGTCATTATCTCAAGATTGGACAAAACTGATTCATTCTTCATATAAGGATCTATGAATCATTGCAAGGTCAGAAATTTATTACTGAGGGGTATACTATACTATCGATCTGATGTATCGGAATAGTGAATTCGTCCCTTGGAAAAGAGGTTGATCTTCACTACGACAAGCGGAGAGTTCACTGAATCTTGTAGAATGCAACATACATACTGGAATTGGAAATGTAGTCTCATACAGTTAGATATTGGTGGTCAAAGTTGATATCAGTCAATTGGACATTCTCCGAGAACATGGAATCGACTTATATCTTAGCACTTATACATTGCGTATGATGAAGCTTACTACTTTGAATGTGGTCACAGAGGACGATCTAGTAATACCAGAGCATTCTATATGAGAATGATGATCTGAACGGCGAAGATAGTATTTAAGCCGTGGCCTATCGTGGGTGAACTTAACCTTTAACTTATCGTACCGTTTTACTATCTCGAGCAATAAGCTATTCAGTATGAACAGTTAGCCCTATTTTATATTCATAGTAGGCAAACTTAAATAACTACTGTACCGTTCCGTTTCTCAATTTTGTGAATCGACCTGCAGTGCTCATCTAGCAATTGTCGTTTTTTTTATAATAAAGATCCCATACCGGTAGTAGGATAAAGAGCTTAGGACCACAGTAGGCAAGGGCATCCGAAAACAGATAAATTATCTTTTGTCTTGCCGAGGCATACAGAACCTTAGTACCGACATTTCAAACTTCTAGTCAAGTTAGAACTTTTGTAAAACTTTTAATGTGCAGTGTATTCTGTTTCTCGTTAAAGTCCAAACCTTCCAGTGTGTTGCACTAAAGATTTATTAGACTGAATTTTGTTTTGTGTGTGAGCCTTTGCGCCGAATGCGGGCACACTGAATCTCCGTATAACCCGCTATCGATCACCAGATAGGGTTACATTTTTATCTGGATTTATTTTGGATCTATACATCGTCTTTGATGCTGCGTTAATCATCGCTGGGTAGGAATACCGTTTGATACGTTTCCGGTCATTGCGTCCTTACGCATTATTAACGTTTCAATTTAACCAGACCAATACCGTTAATGGCTTTTTCATCCAGGTGGAGTGTTGCCTCTGGTACTTTATATACTTTGCTTTATTATCGTTGTTGTTTGTCTAAGTTGAGCTTCTNGAAAATCTAGTGTAATGTACTTATTTCCTATATTGCTGTATTATTGCATACAAAAATGAATTAGGCGAAAGTTACAAGGTCAAGCACTTGTATTTTTATATAAATTTTGCCTGGAGACAACAGTACATAGGTTTATCAATACAAAAACTAAAAAAAACGCTATAGATAGTTTGACACGTGTAGCTGGGAGAAAAAATAACAATCTATAACTCAAAAAGAAAAAACTGGCAAATTGCGATGCTTTGGTATGAACTTCGAGATCATGTCTCGAAGATTCTTCCTGTTTTTTTTGACTATATTTTATGTTTCCCTCCAAAATCAGTACCCAAAACGTGTATTCACAGTATTATAATAAT